GGTGTGGGCGGTCTTTCCAATTTTTCCGCTGTGCCGCCAAAAAGACAACTTCATCCCCTCAAATCTAAGACGAGATAACGCCATTTGTTCTATGTAACGCTGTTATCTTGTCTGCTGTTTGCCAAATGCCATTTTCTCTGTGGCTTTGCTAAAAGGTTCTTCATTGTTTTCTTGCAATCGTAACTACTAGCTAATAATCAATAGCAGTTTTGCATGGCCAGTGAATTTTCAGATAATTGTACAAATGTCCCCCTGCAGCCAGTTTGTCAGTTGTCTGCCCGGTACCGAAAGATCAGACCGAAAGTTATACGTTTAAATGAAATTCAGTCCGTGCTGCCGCCATGCGTCACTAATACCTCCTGATCCCAAGCTTCGTAGCGCAGTTTTTGCCTAAGCGTTCACATTGGCGCGTGACACTTTTTCACCCCTGAAGAAGATATGATTAACCATTTCCGGATGTGACGTCAGCGATAATGATTGATGGCTGGTGTCCTGTTTTCGTTTACTTTTTAAATGACGAAGCTTCGGAAGATGTTTTACTGTTGAACTGACGATTGCTTTTGTTTGTTCCATTGAAAGTGAACATCAGTTTATTCCCGCTCCTTTTGGAAACCGTTGGGGAAGTCTCATCCTTGCAATCGAAATAAGTCTGTTTCAGCTTTAATGCATTTTTGTTTTTGTCCTATTTTGTACTTCGTACTTCTGTTAATCTCCCATTACCTAATAAAGAATTATTTTTCATTGCCGATCTTCGGAAGATCGACCACCAGAACAGTAAGTGCGCATCGGGGAAGCAAGAATCTTCTGATGGTTAAGATTAAAGGGTGACCATTGCTCTAATAGGGATTTTCATCGTTAAGAGAGGTAAAGTTTTACCTGTGGGACAGAAGGTAATCTACATGGGCAGTGAGGACTGTAATACTGCCACCAGTACTTCATGTGTCTGTTAAGTCCACGTTCTTGAAACAGTTCATTTTTCGATGAGATCACCTGACCATGAGGATGTTCCCTAAGCACCGTTGCTAAAAGAGGTTCAGTTGAACTTTTTGCCGTTTAAGAATCGCAGTTGTTTTATGATTATAACTTTCCTCATGGTTATTCATAATGATTTTCATATTGCTCATTTGTCCTGAATTGACAAAAGGATTATTACTGTTAACTTTCTGTCTCCGGAAATCAGACGTTTCAAAGACTGAATGTCTTTCTGACAGAAATATTAGTACGAAAATTATGGGATCAGTTTTATGAATAATTGACAATGTGGGCGGATTATGCAATGATGGTTTGCTCATTATTCCATTTAAATAGTAAATTTAAGGTAATTATCTGCTTCGATAAATCGTTTTGAATTATTTGTATGTAATTCTTTACTTCGTTTTGATAAGCACATTTTCCTGTCCATAGTACCAGAAGTTTTAAAGTGATTGCATTATTTTATCACCCATGCTACTTCGACCGCCTTTGTACCACATAATCATTATAATCAGCATTTTCCGTTTCACTATTGGGCGATGGCCTGTTTACCACAAGATTATGTTTTGTGTGATTTTTATCCATCTTGATTCAGGAAACTTCTTCAGCTCTGTCATCGATATGTTTGTCTTCCCACGAACCGTTTATTTCCTCTTGGAACGCAGTCTAACGTATTTATGATCCAGCTATGGTTGGACCGCCCATTGCCACTTCACTTTCTTCACTCGAGCAATCAGATCGCCTGCTGTCGTATGTGGTCTTCTCCGATCATTCGTTTTCCTGTCTTTTCTTGTTCTTCTCAACATATGTCTTTCCATACTGCGTTGCGTAGTCTGCAGTTTATGAGTATATTTCAGGTTTACGGTGATGTTTCCCATCCATGGGATAGCTATGAAAAGTTTTCTGTTTCAAGCACAAGGGTAGTTTCCCATAACAACATTTTCAATCTTCTAAAATTTCTCCTTGATAGTTTTACTTTTCTGTTGATTTCGCAGAGTCAGTTCTCCGATGCAGAGGTGGGTTGACCAGGATTGGCTTAGTTTTGCCCAAGAAGATGCAAAGGTTTTGCCCCCCGCCCCCACTTTCATCTGATCCTTACCTCTAAATTCTGCTGCGTGATTTGTTACAGTTTAGCCAATTTCTACAACAAAGGTAAACGTTTTATATCAATGGGTGAGTATCGATTGTGTAAAATAATCAATAGCTTAGATCCTCTCTTTCGCCGGGACAATTTCCCTCCCACTCTTGAACAGGAGACAAAATTTGTTGTTCGTCTGAGGAATCCAGTTTTAAGCATTGAATAAATGACGAAGTGCATGAATTTTAATGGATGTTTTGAGCTTGGGAAACAGTCATCCAGTAGAACCACCGCAGCCCTAACCTTGATCACAGAGGCCGCGTGCGCACTAGTTGCCATTTGCGGCGTGCAAGCGACGGACGATTAGGTAGCTTGTTGCACTTAGAGGTTTTTCTGCCGAGCTTGGCTGTTGGCAAAGCGGTAAACACTGCATGGCTAATCATTCTGTAGCGAAGTTCTGCATTCTGCACCCCTTTACTTTATATGTTTTCAGATATTTTTGGAATGACGAATGCTGCAGCTGACTTGATGGCGCAATTTTAGCGCTTTTTATTATATACAGTATGCTAAATTTGCAGGTTAAATCACGTGGTAACCTAGATAAATGTATTTTGTGTTAACATAACGTCGTTTATCTAGTTCGCTTGCACCACTAAAATACAGATGCGTTTGTGGTATGAACTGTACATGGCCTTAAAAGTTATGTTTGTGATAAGCGACTAGACATATTGGGTGATTAAGCATTCAGATATGTCCTTTAAATCGTAAATAATCTCCCTTGCGCTGATAAATGCTTCTCCAGTTGACAAACTTACCTTCTGATTACATGGATCTGTTAACACTGAGCGATGGCATAAATTTTCGCAGAATCTAGAGGAGCCAAGAGCAGCTTAACTTACTTTGTTAATAATGTGTATAAATGCTTTACATTGCGTCCCTCAAGCGGATATGTTTCTTTTTCGAATGACAGTAAAGGCAACGTTGGCAAAGATTATATAAAAGCATTAGAAGTGTTTACTCCTAACTGCATTTTGTCAACTATATCGGCCGCAGTAAAAATGAATTTCTAATAAATGTCGATGTGTTTTCACGAAGTGCATCCTTCGTGTCAGTGAGCAATATTTCTCAGTGGTTTATGTCTTATTCAGCATCACTACATTGAAATAAAGTTTATTCAGTTTTAATGCCGCTATTCCTTTTAGTCAGGGAGCCGCATCAGGAAAGATCTTAGTAATGGCTGCTATAAGACGAAGTAAAAAAGTCTTCGATTCCCTAGGCGTGGCGCTATCAAGCATTCTGAAAACACGAACCATTTCGTGTTCGTTCTCCAGTGTAGTCCTATTTGTGATTTTGCCACGAAAGTTCATTATTATTGTCTTACAGAGCATATTTCGTCATGTTTTCCAATCCAAAGCAATTGCGATGCCTCGAATTGGAGATGGAGTGGACGATAACATGAGAATCTGAAACTTCATTGAGTCTCGTCGCATCAGCAGT